CTCCTGGGCTCAAGCGATCCTCCTGCCTCAGCCTCCCGAGTAGCTGGGACTACAGGCACGTGCCACCACACCTGGCGAATTTTTCTATTTTTTTGTAGAGACGGGACTCTCCCTCTTGCTCAGGCTGGTCGCACTCCTGGCCTCCTAGAGTGCCAGTGGGCTGTTTTCTAAGCAGAAGGCGCCTTTTCCTTGCCAGTAGCGTTAGAGGGCGGAAATACAAAAGCATCTCTGGTTTGTAGAAGGGTGGCAGCGGAGACTATGGCCAGGCCTCATGCTCCGGCTCACTTTCAACTCTGTCTCCCTCCTCCTTCCCTCCGGACAGAGCTCTCCAGCGTGGGCTTCTCCATCCCCCACCCCGCACTGCCCCGGTACATCTCTAACCCTATGCAAAGCTCCTGGAACCCACGGCTGTGGGAACTGCCTGCATTTTTTCCCAGGGGTCTGAAGCTCCAAGTCTGAAACTGGAAAAGAAAGGCAATTTTGCATATTTATGTCACTTTTCAAATCACCTATCTGTCGCAGGGGCTGACTCTGCCTGAGACGTACCCATACCCAGCTCACTTCGAAGGCTGACTTGAGACTGTTCTAAAAAGGCAGGAGACGTGTTAGTTACGGGGTTCTAATGAACTGGCTCCTGGCTTTTTGTGTAACTCTCAGTGAGTCACTGTACTTTTGTGAATACAAGGAGAAAGCTCGCAGATTCATGAAAGTTTGGAGAGTGTCGGCTCACCGTGAACAAAGTGCTCGTATAATTCTCTGGACCCTATTTTGGCATGAAACACAGCGAATGAGAATGGGCGGAATTATGCAAGTGACTTGGTCACGTGGCATTGATATTAGAACATTTAGAACTCAGTCTGGTCCCCTAATGCATGTTTGTATTTTATAAAACCCTCGTCTCTAGGGGCAGAAACTCCGGCAGCACCTTCCCCAGGTACAGCCCGATGGGGATCTGGACTTCGGGGTATCGTTTACATTTCCTGCCTTGAGTTTTCTTCTTTCTCGCCTCTTTTAAATTTAAGTGACCCAGTCGCTGGCTGTCAGTTCCTTCCTCCGTGCCTGCCCTGTGCCCCCATTTATAAAACTCTGGCTCTTCACCGGCTTCCTCAAGACATCGGAGCATACCAGGTGGTTTCGTGGTTGTGTTTGAAGATTTGTTGGGTCTGGGGGGTGCGGTCCCCCACGGCTGCACACTGCGTTTTGCTCTGCACGCTCCGTTCAGATGCCTCCTTCCTGCAAAGACTGCCGGGCCCCAGGTCCCTGGCCTCCCTCCTGTCTTCATCGCCGCTCCCACCCCAGCCCATCCGCACAGCTCTGAGCTCCGTTCCTCCTTCCTCTCCGTCCACTGTCGGCAGAAGAACCTTCCCCTTGTGAAATCAGAATGCCAGGCACGCACTCAGACCCCAGGCTTCCTCCCCTCCCGTCCGGCAGAGGGCTTCAGGCTCTCTCTGTTCCTACAGAGACATTCTCCTGCAGGCATTTTCTCCAGCTGTGACATGAAGCCATTAACGTGAGGAATTGGGACCTGCTGGTCAGACAGTACCGTGAACTATAATATGGCGAAGGAGCCGCGTGGCCTAAGCTCCCAGCTTCTCGGTTTCTCTTTACTAGCTGTGCGATCTTGGACAAATTACTTGCTCTCTCTGGGCGTGTTTTCTAATCCGTAAAATGGGATCAGTAAGAGAGCCAACTTCATGCGGTTGTTGTGAAGATGAAAGGAGTTAATGTGACGGGCTTGGAAGAGGGGTCAGCACAGGAACTGCGCCGCAGTGCACGGTCATGACCCTGGGTGCGCAGGTGGGTGGGTGACAGCCCTGTCCTTTTGGGAGGAGGCAGCGGCCTGGCGCGCTGGGAACGTTCCACTCAAGTCCGACCACATTTGTTCTGTGAACATGTCATTCATTTTTTCTGCATATATTTTTGCCCACGGCGTCAACTTCACATGGAGTGAGTAATTTTCTGCAGTTTCACTTGTCAAATTCCAAACTGCTTGTTCTCCCTTAAACCTTTCCCTATCTAGCTGGCCTGAAATCATCCCCCCGAGTGGCCGTCAGCACGTTCTGCTTTGTGTTGTAGTTGCGTGTCTCGTCTTGTCCTCTGACGTAAGCTGATTGAAGCCAGCGCCATTTCTTACTTGCTACAAGTCTGTTAGATACAGGGTGTAAGTTTCCACGTAACTGACCCTTTTCCGTTTTTAATTTTCATTTTAGATAGTGACCGCACTAAACCCGAGGGAAAGAAGACTGTTGACACTACCACGGGGATGGCCTCTAGACCCAGCTGGCCGTTGGCGGGGGCGGCCTTTGGTAGCCTTGTGTTCCTCACCCACTGGATCTTTGGAGAGGTCTCCCTTGTGTCCAGATGGGCCGTGAGTGGACATCCCCACCCCGGGCCAGACCCTAATCCATTTGGGTGAGTTTGAGTTTGGAAAGCAATTGAGAGATTGGCGGTTGTGGTCAGAGGAAGAAATACCTCCTTTGTTGGACAGCTAGATCTGTGCTAGCCAGATATTTATTTCCCATTCACCCTAGACATCGAAAACATGGCGTCAGATTATGTGTGCTCTGGCCTTGTGTTCCTCACCTGTAAGAGGAGGGTTTTCTTTTCAGACATTTTCTCACTGTGTGTATTGGCCCGGCACATCAAAGGTGGAGCTGCAACTCACGGAGACCAGCACTTCCCAAACTCTCTTCTGTGGTTTCCTGAGACGTTAATGGTTACTCTGAGGACGAAAAGGCTTCTAGATCAAATAGTTTGGGAAATACTGCATTTCATATTCCTTTCTTTGATTCACAATCACATTAGCATATTAAAAATTCTCAGAGATTTCCCAAACTTCTTTGAAGATGGAATTGTTCTGTAGAACACCCGTTATCTCATAAAGCAGGTGTTTCTCAGAACCCTTTGGAGAAACGTTGCGTTGGACCATCGGCACAGTGGGAGTTGCTTTCTAAAATTCACCAGGTGCCACTTCAAGGGATGGGTCATAGATATGGTTTGAAGGAGAGGAGAGAGGGTCTCAGAGGGTGCAGAAGGCCCCTCGGGAAACCAAAGGACCAGTGCAGACCGCAGACCCTGGGAGAACAAACTGGCCTAGTCCCCCCGGCCCACCCAGCACTTGGCCACCCCATCACTCTTACTCTTGTCTAGCACTTTCCACCTTCTGATAACCTGCGTCATTTATTGCTGGTGTTTATCATGTGTCTCCCTTGCTAGCATGTGAGCTCTCTGGGGGAAAGGGGTCTTTGTTCACTGATGTGTCCCAAGTACCTAGGACAGAGCCTGGCACGCAGTAGGCACTCATGAATATTTGCTGTTGAATTGGGGGTAGAATAAGATCAACACTGCGCTCCACAGCCCTTTCTCACATCTGGGCTTCTGTGGCCACAGGGTAATCCTTAGGAGGCAGGGCAGGCGGTACAGCGGCTAAGAGCCTCACACCAGAGCCTGAGGACTGTTTTTGGATTCTTAGTCCTATGTGGGCTACTGTGTGTGCCCCCAGGTGACTTACACGCCCTTTCCCCGGTATACCCCTCTGCAAATGGGGATCATAATAGCATTTACCTTATACATGCATGAGGATTACATGAATAATAATACAGGTAAAAATCTTAAAACAGTGCCTAGGGTGAGTGCTATGTTTTTTTTTAGCTTAATTTATGTTACAGCTATTTATCAAGTGCTATGTGGTGGGTTATTTTTGCTGCTGGATTTCCCCCTAACATTTAAATTCTTTTTTTTTTTCCCCTTCTCCTACAAATTTTTGCCAAAACAGCAAAAGAATGAAATAGTTAGTGGTTTTTTGAGAAACACATGACTATCAATTATTTATCAAACTGACACTGGTCATGGAAGGCAGAGAACATAGACAAGAGCAGTAGTGAGGCAGAGAAAAAAGAAAAAAGGCAAACTAAGTAGAAACTATCCCAAGGACGTTTTCTTTTTTTCTTTGGCAGGGTCATTTAAAATGTTACGTGAGCAATAGGGACTGTAATGTCATGGTCCGAGCAAACTCAGTCACTGTTTTCGCGTTGACCATAATGAGACCGCAGATGTCATTTGTCTCGTCAGAATTTGTATTACTGTAATGCTCTAAATGTGTATGATATTGGTTTCCACTAGGCTCTCATAAGCTCATCGGTTGTTTCACGCTTATATTATCTCTTGGATGTACCTCGAGGTAGGATTTGTATTGTATTTGTGACAATGAAATAATATTAACATCAGATGTCTTAAGCATCTCCTTTTTTACAGAGGTGTAATTCTGCTGGGCTTGGCAAGTGGACTGATGCTTTCGGCCTGTTCGTGGTTTCGCGGTACTGCTCATAGTTTGATCTGGTGGGTTACAGGTATGTGAAATTTACCTGCAGATATACCCTCATTGGGCTTGGTTATCCAGTTCACTTGCAAACATGTGCAACTAGTCTGGAAGTAGACGCAGCCACACAAATACGTACTGTGGTCAAACGGGCTGTTAAAACCAGCTGCAGCAGCTATAACCAAGATGTCGCCAAGGTCACTGGTGACTATCTGCTCCAGGTCCCTGCTTCTTCCTGCTTCACCCTCCCTCTCCTCCTGTGGCTGTCTCGTTCCCAGGACTACACTGCCATAATATACCTCCCCTTAAAGACGCTTATGCACGGTACGTGAACTTAGTCTTATTGCATGTTGCCAGTGGCCTGACCCCTTTTCACTCTTCAAGATTCCTCGCTTGCTTGTTTTTCAGAAATGCCCTCTGTTGGGATTCCATAATGAAGCTCAGTTTCTCTTTCCCTTTTCCATGTACCCATTTAGCTGCCCACCTTTCTACCCAGCTTTGGGGGCCATGTTTGCTTATTCAAAGACCTGACTCATCTCTTCCCACTCATACCCTTTAGGACCCAAGAAATACTGGTGAAGGCTGTCGTGTTTCAGGCTGCCCTTTTCCCCTTTCCTGTTAGTCTTTGTGAGCGTGAGGGAGCATCAGACTTGTTCTCCTATGACCAAATTATGCCGCTCTTCCTCCTTCCCCTTAAAAGGCAAAAATGGTTACAGTCAGGTGTGCTGACCGTAAATAAAAACAATTCTCCACTCTGTTACAGAGCAAACACTGTATTTGGTGTCTGTGAGAGGAGCTGTCCTTACATATGTTAATTGATCCAATGATTCAGGGTGTCGCACTGGCTGGTGTATGGGGGTTTGTGAGACTGTGCGTATCAGTAATAGAAGACGTGGGTTGAATAATGTAATAAGGAAATTTCTGTACATATAAGCACCATCGCCTTGCATGGAAATGTATGTCATCCAAATTGGCTGCTAAATGGATGAGGTTGGCCAGGCCCTCTTCCGCCGGGAGCTGTGTGAGCACACGGTTGCAGTCCTGCTGAGCTGTTTTTACTTGCTTGTGCGTTTTCTGGTAGTCACTTATCTGGAAGTCTGTGTGTGTATAGGAGTCACCTTTCTTCTCATCAGAGAGCTGCTTCATGAGATTTCTCAGGAAAAGGGCCAGAGAACTTTGTTAATGCTGAGTTTGCAAGGAGCGTATGCCACAGCTTCTTAATCTGTGCACGGTTTGGAAAAGGCAAATGAAATGCATTGAGTTTGTTCGACATTTATATTATGCTTTTACTCATAGAATATAAGCAAAGTGCTTATTAGGCAGGTAATTAGCAGCTTCATTTTAAACATGGGAAAACTGAGGAACACAGAAACATAGATTGTTAGTTAAAAAACAAAAAAGCAGGGAACTTAGTCTTATTGTCCCAGGTGAGTAAGGTCGTATCCTTGAGAGTCAAACCTAACCTAGTTTTGTGGTCGCTCTGAAGTATTAAAAAGTAGTTTTAAAGACTCAGAGGCAAGCAGATTTAAGACTTCCAGTAGGCTACTTGCAGTAAAGGAAAGTAGGGCCATAATTCACGAGCTTCATCTCCGCTTCTGATCGCCTACTCACCTGAAACAAGCTGGAGCTCACACTTAATTATCTGGGCTGGCGTCCACTTTTCACTGTGATTCATCTCTGGAAACCGCCACGATAAAGCAGACTGGAGCAGAAGGAATCGTGTTTTCCTGTTGTACTGTGTAAGCTTGCAGTCCCAACTGGAGGCTCGGCGTGAAATTACTCATGGCAATGACCGAAGAATTTCGTAAAAGCAGAGATACAGGAGCTTTAAATCTTGATAGCAATTAAATTAGTAAAATCACAGTTCTATCAAAAAAAGGCATAGATATAGTAAAGGTATTGTTAGGACCCCAGTTTAGTTAATATACAGTGTGAATATAATTTTATTATGTAAAAACTCAATCTATTGAAAACTGACATGTCAGTTATTATAAATGTTATGGGAATAATTACCGTGAATTCTGCTTGACGTCTTAGACGTTGTAAAGATTTGGGGGAGGTTATTTGGAAGGGCTCCAACAATGAAAAGCAGTTAAGGTATACACTTAAGTGAGAAAGGCAAACTGACTAACAGTGTGTATTGTATACGCTGGCATACAAAATGGGAGGGAACCGCGCACACACACACACACACACACACACACACACACACACACACACACGTCTTTGTATGCATAGAATATTTCTGGAAGCATGCAGAGGTAAATGCTAACATTGGTTGCCTTCACTGAGGGGAACGAGTGTATGTGATAAGGGTCAGAAAATCCCTTTTGGACCATTTGAATTTTGGATTTTGAATTTATAACCCACTTAAAAATACAATGTTAGTGGATTTAAAAATATGGAACCTATTTAAAGATAGAAACTAAATTAAACATAAAAGCAATAACAGTCAAGGAAATTTTGAAGAGATGTTTTCTTTTCTTCCAGATAATTCTCTGACGTAAGGGACAGGCAGCAAAGCCCTTCTAATGACTTAGATGAGAATATCAAATTCGGACTCATTCTTTAAGAAACAATAAATGCTTGAGGTGATGGATACTCCA